AAATCCCCATGAATTGGCTTGAGCCAAGCCTGCTGGCTCTTAATGGCTTGAGTCCAACCATTAAGAGCTTCTTTCACTCTCTTTGCACGACATCTAGTAATTGACCCACATGGAACTTGCATTAAATCTTCTCTTTAAGTCGTGTCATTGTCATCCATAATATCATTTGTATCAGTATCTCTTTATTTACAATTAAGATGAATATGAGAAGAATATTTTTAACACAATCAAAAGGTTGAAATAAGGTTAAATTTATGTCCTTCATTTAGTAGCTTAGTAAAGATAAGTTCTTGAACATAACCTTTTGGCAAAATGGTACAAATTTAAATAAAATATATTAACGTGATACATAACCAATATAAAAATAAAGTACATCATCAAGCACTTCTTTGTTGTATGTTTTTTTTTGTTCTTACAAAAAAAGTAAAAAAAATGGCTACTGCATATTGCCATTCAAAGCAACCAAACCAAAAAGAATTGATGTGAGAGTCGATATAATTCATTTAATTGACCTTTTTTTAGAGTTTTATACCCAAAAAAAATTAGATGCCCTAAATAGATTCCCACAACAAAATCCAAAGTTAATCTTAAAGTAAAAAAACTTTTATGGACTTACAATTGATCTTCAACTATCTTTTAGTTGAAGATCCTCATGTGCACGATTACAACTTTAATTTTGATGGTGATTGACTCTCCATTCCAAGATCAATTTAATCTCAAGAATGATCCTAAAGAATGCTAAAACAAGTAAATATACACGTTAACATTGAATGTGATTATGAAGATCTTTGCAATTATATAACTTACCATTTCAGTCTTGTGAGTTGAAGTTTGTGTTACTTGATGACATTCAAGATGCTGACCTATTTCATTGGTCACATTCACATGAACTTCCATATTCTTATGCTTTTCTTGCCACAAATGCTACTATTATGTCTACTTATTTTTATCACACTGAAGTATGATTGTTATCTATTTGATTTATTTCATCGAGAATTTATGGATTATTCATTAGGAGCCTTCCTTCTCATCTTCAATGGCCTACCATTCTTAGAATTATTATTTGGTGGCAATGGTAGAATTTTATTACTTTTCTACTATTCCTCAATGTCATTTGCAGGTATAATGTTGCATTGATAATTTTTTCTTTATGCTTTCACAAAATTGCAACAATCAACATGGTCTTTTTGTCACCCATATTCATTTTACACTACAATGCAAATGCGTACAAAAGATAATTCATTCAACTATCATCCCCTGCAATTATGTGATTTGGACCCTAAATCTGATGCTGCTTGTATTATTTTTTTCAACCACATGTTTAAATCTTGGGCCTAACTTGTCACCTCATTTCATGGCCTTCTCTTTAGTTTCTAAGATTCTTGCTATAAACATAGATCTAATGTGTTCAAGCATTGAAATAATTTGACAACTTTCTAGCATCAAAGATGAAGGCATTGAAATATTCATACATGTTGTTAAGCTACTAAATATGATTTTGATCATTCATTAAGATGATTTTCATTTAATCATCAGAATGCCACAAAATCTATTTTTTTCAATTCTTAGATAGTGCTTTTGAATTCACTATGTCCTTGAAGTTGCTGCGCTTATCGATGTTGTTTCAATAAATTAAAATTCTTAGAGCAAATATGTGCACAATCTATTGGTGATATTAGGCAATCTATTCTCAAAAATATAAATTAACTGTTTTTTATTTTCTTTAAGTGAAGGTAAAGTTGTGTTGATTATCAAATATTTGTTCTTCCAAGAACTTAGAAAGCATTTCTAGCTATCAATTTTAACCATTGCCCATGGAAGTAGGAAAAACTGTTGTTCCTATCAATTGTAGCACTCTTGAAAGTTGAAACCCTTGTCGCCCCTTTAGAAAGCACTCTTTAACGCCAATTGCTAGCCTACAAATTAATCAGAAGCCATTTTTTGCAATCACAGTAAACATAATGCCTTACAAATATTTTTCTACCATACAAATCCAAACCTTGCTTTATGCACTAAAATAGTTGAATTTCGTTTGGCATTGCAATTTCAAGGCAATAGTGTCAAATTTTTAATTGGTTTTTCCTTTTTATGTGGACCAATTTATGAGCTTTTTCAAAACCTTCTTAACTCACGCTTTAGACTCATGCAACTTTAAGTCATTTATAACTTTCATTCTAAATATATTAATCTATGGATTGACTCTAATTTTATGAATATTTTTTCCTCGTACCTTTGTAGAGTTCAAGGTTTTATTGGGATAATTTAATGTGCAAGTATACCCCTACAATGATCTCATTTGCCACAAATTGCTTCCCTCATACTTGGAAATATATACAACACCTTTCACCATTATACACAATTCTAGTTGCTTATCCACTTTGAATTCACCAATTTTGCACAGGTTATTTTAACTTTTAAATGTTGAAAAGCTTGTCCACTTTCAGGGCAAGTACTTTTTAACTCTATTTTAGAATTGGAAGTTTGCTATTTGGCATTACTATATCACTATAATGAATGCTTGCATCATTATTAAAATTTATTCAACTAATATCATTATCATTTTCTATTAAATTTTTAGTTAAATAACCATTACAATAAAAAAAATGGTGTGTTCCCCTTGTTCCTTAGTTTTATAAATTTAATAGAATGGGTTCTAGTTTTCAAACTGTCATCATCCTCTAACATCTCATAATCACTATTGTTAATTTTTTTCATAATCATCCTCATTATCACACCACAATACTCATTTACTTCCATATTTTTTTATCGCCCTTTGTTATTTGCATATCAATCGTCTCGATCAAACCACCAAATAATGGTGTAAATTTTGATTCTTCAATCCACTAAAAAATAACATCTTATATGATCTACAGCAAAATTCACATTATTTTTCCATTTTTTTTATGTCATGTCATGAACTAAATATATTTTTGCTATCCTACAAATATATCTCAAGCTTAAAAAAGAAATAACTATGATTGGAAAACTTAACCTAGGGTGGATGGTGAATTTCTCGTCCCTTCCTCATGCATTTTCTCAATTTGCTCTTATGGAAAATCTTACCAATCTGATGAATACTTAAAATAGATAAAAATAATAAAAATAAATTATCATTCATCCTTGCTCAGGAAGCTTCACTTGTTCATCTTTGTCACTGCTATCTGCTTCTCTTCGTATATGCTTCTCAGTTGTCTTTTGGCATTCAGATATGCATAGGTAACCTTTCATCTCTCACCTGCATGCCACCTTTCCCGCCCCTTCTCATGCTTCATTTTTTTGTGTAGGCTAGTAAAGATAATACCAAAATAAAATAAATTTTCATACCATAAGTGTGTGCATACTCTACGAGTCCTTACTTTAATCCCCAGTTTGGATAAATTATATCCAAACGTATATTAATCCTTTTTTTTTCCTCCAAAAGCTTGTCCAATGCTATGTTATTTGTTTTTTAAAATATTATTCTATCCACGTTTCCTTGTTTCTCTATCAATTTTTGCCAAATTTTTAAAAATGAATTTTTGATAGTCCTATTGCTTTCTTTTGACATAAAAATGAATTTTTTTAGTTCCTTACTCTCATACTTCACGAAATAACTTTCATATTACTATCACTTAATATATTCCCAGTTTTTGCTCTTGTTCTTCCTGTAGCTCTTTATCATTGTCATTTGATGTATTCTTTTGATTTGTTTCTTACATTATGATCATGAATATTACTATATTTGTGGATATAGATAATGATATTTTTAGTTATTTGATATTATGCATGAACATGTATGTGTACCTACACTTCTAGCCATTTCAGTTTGTTTTAGGATATTTGTGTTATGATTCATTTCGTTTGAAAATGCACGATGATATGTGTGCCTCAATAGCTTTTTGGACCTGTAATGCTCCACATAGCTCATGAAATTATTATATTTGTTAGTAATTTATTGTGAATATTTGGGCTGATTGTCAGAGCTTTTGAATCATAGTGTTCATTTTGATGAATGCTTTGTTTTGTAATCTTTATGACTTAAATTGTACTTTTTCAATTTTTTGGGATTACGCTAAAGTAGATGATGATTGATTGAACTTGATGTGGATTTTTGGCATATTCGGAGATTTACCATTGGTGCAAATGCTTTGCCTTGAATATTAAATTCCTCTTTGAATTCATCATTACTAGGCTGCGTGCCAAACTCTAATGTGACTTCCAAATTCTGATAAATTTAATATTTAATGGATTATTTGGTCCGTATATTGGTTATTTTTAACGATTGAACTGGCTTTGTGTGTCCATTGGGATTTGTTTTAATTTTGACAAACAAAGAGGAAGCTTAAATGTTTCTTTTCTCAGTAAATTGGACCATTTAAAGATCTTGAATTTCTGTCCAATACAATTGAAATGAATTTTTTTCCTTCCCTATTTTATCGTAGTCAATGATCGTAATCCTTGGCAGATTTTTTGTTTAGGGGCATGTATATACTTGCCACCGAATTCCTATGTATTTATATATCTAACTCCTAAACATAACTTTTTACATTTATACCACCCAAATCTTTTGTATCACATCAAATATAACACTATTTTAACTTTTAAAAAGTGAAATACACCTAATGCATAGTAAAGGTGGCATATTTCTAAATATTAAAGTTTAGGTGTTAGATATGTAACATAGGAATTACGTGGTATGCATACAAATCTTACTTATGTTTGTTAAACCTCATAATTGTAGAATTATGGATACCATTTTTAATGTGATAGGCAAAAACCTCATAATTGTGTTTAGGTCCTTTTAATGCATTTAAGCATGGACCTCTAAAGATTCGCTGAATTAAAACCTCTGAATTCCTTTTGAAATGTATTGAGGTTCTTAATCTAATTTCAAGAATATTTCATTTACTCCTTATTTGCTCTATTCCTATCCAACCAGATGTTGCAGTTTTTTCCAATTTTCCATTCAATTGGCTGACCAATGGCTAACCTTAATTTGTATCGCGTATTTGAGAATGCAGAAAGACGTTTTCTTAATAAGCTCGAATGGCATGCGCTACAACGCACCAGACACAATTTACTTTCGGCAGGTAACTATAATCTTCTTGTTATAAAGGACATTTTCTTGTACAAGAAGCTAAAATTGTTTTCAACTCAGGCAAGGTCGATACACGAACTCGCCAAAAAAGGTTTTGAGAGCTTAAGGCACGAAGGTGTTGGCGGCGAACGAGAACCAAAAATAGTACGACGAGGTAGGCCACCTGGCACTGGCAAAAACAGCTTCAAGCGGCCGGTTGGTCGGCCTCCTGCGGAGCGAACTGGTTCTGAATTTTCGTCTGAAGCTGCTCTTGCAAATGCTTTGATTGGAAACCATTCGTCTGGCTTAAAGAATGATTTTTTGAGGGAAGGATCAGGACCGGATCAGCGAAGAATAGCAGATGTATCCATCAGGCCTACTCAGTTTTTTCATAGCTCTGAAGCTTATAGTTTAGGCAGTGAGCTTAAATTAGTGAGAAATGAAGATTATTCAGGTTTTTGATGATTAATTCTCATTGGAACTAATTACTGTGCTGTTATTTTCAATTTTAGTTTCTTATGAGCAATTTAATCTTGTGGGTCTTACTAACATTGCAGGGTCTACGTGGAAGGGATTCCCAAATTATGGGAAGAAACTTAATGTCATGGATGAGAGTCGCCGAAATAGTTATAAGCAAAGTCAGTTATCTTCTTCTGTGCCTGAGTGGCCTGTGCTGGCAGCTTTTGATGGAGAGAGAAAGATATTGTTGCAGGTGAGTGTCTAAAATAACTTTCTTTGATTCATAGAACCTCTTTATTTTTTTGGGAAATTAACATAAGTAGCACAAAATTCTTATGTATTTACATATCTCACACCTAAATTTTAATATTTACTTAGCATTTTTGTGCTTTAAACTTATGTGTGTAAATATGTATGGCTTTTAAAAAGTGACAACTGTGCTATTTTTGTATGTGATATTAAATATTTGAGTGCTCTGTGTATGGAAATTTAGGTGTGAGATGTAAATAGATAAGAATTCTTTGCTATGTATGTAAATGCCTATTATTTTTTTTACTTTTTGTAACAAACAAAAATGTTTTTGTGATTTAGTGATCATAAGCTTCACTTTCCCAGTTGAATGATCCATGAAATCGTTTTTGTAAATATGAAAGTTTAGGTGTGAGGATATGGCAGTTTAGGTTTGAGATATGTAAATACATAGGAATTGTAAGCTAAATATCTAAATGCACCTTTTTTTTTCTTGTTGTTTGTAGCAAAACATAAATGTTGTGATTTAGTGATCGTAAGCTTCATTTTCCAAGTTGATTGGTCCATGAAATAGTTTCCAACATTGCATAAAAATGATCTTACTTGCAAATTCATGAATACCTGCTTTATTCTGAATCAGGTTGGATGTAAATATGAAAGTTTAGGTGTGAGGATATGGCAGTTTAGGAATGAGATATGTAAATACATAGGAATTGTAAGCTAATTTAGTGATCATAAGCTTCATTTTCCAAGCTGAATGGTCCATGAAATAGTTTCCAACATTGCATAAAAATGATCTTACTTACTAATTCATGAATACCTGCTTTATTCTGAATCAGGTTGGATTTCATGTGGAGTACGCGTACGCGAGAAGCTTGGCTCGTTTTGCCGCAAATCTCGGCCCCATTGGTTGGAAGATTGCTGCCAAACGGATCGAGAAGGTTCTCCCTTCAGGGATCAAGTTCGGACCTGGGTGGGTCGGGGATGAGGTTGACGCTCCCCGATCTTATCATCCACACTTCTCAAAGTCGCCTTCTCCCCATCCTTCCTCTCCGCAGTCGAATATCTCCGCGGCATTGCGAAATGAGCCTCACTCAGAAAAGCGAGATGATCTTCCTTCCAATAACTCGGTGGGACAATACTCTCACTCAGGAACTTCTCTTAGTCCTTCCTCAGCTTCTATATCCGCTGTTGCTCACGAGAGATTCCATGATTCCAGTGAAGTGAAAGGTTCATCCGAGTTTCACTGTAACGTGAAGATGCAACCTCTAGCGAACGGATTCAAAGCCTCCTTCACTTCCAATCATCTTTCTCGTTCCAAAATATTCACAATGCCGAGTGCAGCTCGAGAAAACTTCGGTTTGGAAGCAGTAATCCCTTTGCCGAATTCGAGTAAAGGGCCATGTCCGGCCGTTCCAGGTGTCACCGTGGATTCGCAGAAACCTGATTTGGCATTGCAGTTATGAGATAAAATCAGGTTCATTATTTATTTTATTCTTATGAAATTTGATTCTGAGTAGTTATAATGCTCTCTCCCCGCCATCAATCAGATCCCAAAATTTCTTAGAGTTTCTTAACTGTGATCCGTTTCAAAAATATCCTTACAGTTGCAGGAATTGACATTCATGCTACTGAATAAAATTTTAGTCTAACTATCCTAAAACTGGAGAAAGTTTTTAGACCAATGTGAGGGCTGGAAATCAACTCCTAGCTTCCTTGGATGTAGATTTTGGGCTTCTTTTGGGTTTTTTTTTCCTTATTCTTAGTTAATTTTTGTCTGATTTTAGTGAATACCCAAATGTTTGTAGAATAGCTGGGGCCATTTTTGTACAGATTGACATTCCTGAAATGAATTAAGGAAGTGCCATTATTAACTACCATTGATCCACTTCTTAATGAGGCAAGATAACATTGTTAGTCTTTTTACTAATTAGCATATATATACATGCTTCCATTATATATTTTTTCCATTAATGTTGATTTGAATGTGACATTTTTTTTTGTTTGAAACAGAACATATAATGATTGTTGATTTTTTATTGAGAGAACTTAATTTAGAATCAATATAAAATGCATTTCATTGATTTAATTTAGAATATATGCTTGGTACAAACTGATATATGTGGACAAAATCTCTTTGTGAAAATTTATATTAGGCAATAAGTAATTTTTTTCTCAGGCATCAATGTGACACGGTAGCTTATCTTATAAATTTCTTTTTAGTCAATTCCTATATATGTGTTGTATTAGGATTTGGAAGTCAGTTTTTCGTGTGTTTTATTTAGGACAGCCGTTCTTCTTCCTTTGAGAGTTGTATCAAAGAGATTGGTTGGTGATTCGGTTGTATCTCTCACTCGAGGTGGTGATTATCTTCTCGATTCCCTTTCGCATCCTCCCAACATCGCTTATGGCTGCTCTCACTTGCTGCAGTCATTGCCTAACAGCCACCTGCTACTGTTTTCTCATCTTCCAGCCTATGACTTTTGTATTTTGGCTTGCTGTCTCCATCTCGGACATGGAGGATTTGTCGTCCTCACCCATTTCAGCTTCCCCAGCCCTCCCTTCCACTTGCTATTGTCGTTGTCCTACTGTCCCTGCCATTCTTTCCAACTTCCAACCCTCACAGCTGTCCCAAAACCCCACTACTTTGCTGCTGCCACCCCCAATCAACAAACTTCTATTGTATGACCAGCCATTCCTTGCTCTCCACCTGCCTACCTTGTTGCTGCCACCCAAACAGCAAGGAGGTGCTGCTTGTTTTCTTGTCCTCTTGTTGTTTGTACTCTTTTCCCCGTGTTGTTGTGGCATTGTTTTCCCACCGTCCAACTCCTCGATCTTGTTGCCACCTTTTTCAAACCCCCGCTTATCACGACCACTTGTTGTGGCATTGTTTTCCCACCGTCCAACTCCTCAATCTTGTTGCCACCTTTTTCAAACCCCCCCTTATCACGACCACCCACCCAAGCTCCCCTTTAGTTTTGATTATTTGTGTCGTATGTGTTGCTATTTCAGTTTTTCAAATGTCGTGCCGTTGTATTTTCCCTTTCCATTGTATTGATTGTAATTGTTTATTTGTTTTCGGTAATAATACATGTTTTTCATGTTATGGTTTGGGTTAACTCCGGTACGAATTGATATCAGAGCTAGTCTAATCCTATTCCTATCTTAGGATTTCCAGCATCCACTAATTCTTAACCCTATCACCTAAATATATATATATATATATTTTTCTATTATAGTTTAGGTTAACTGCAGTATCACAATGTCACTTTTGTATTTTTTTATTTTTTTATGGGAAAATTTACATATATACCTCACAATTATTATGTATTTTCCTAACTAACACCTAAAGCTTGATATTTACAATTATAACAACTTGATATCATAAACTCATGCATGAAAAGATGTATTTCACTTTCAAAAGGGTAGTGAATATGATATTTTTGATGTGATGTTAATGTTTAGGTGTCATGTGAACACATAGGAATTGTGTAATTTATATGTAAATGCCCTTTTTGTTTTCAAGTTAATTTACTCAAGCTACAGCAGCTTGAATTTTCTTTTATGTATATATAAATTAAGAAAATTTCAAAATGATCCCTGATTCTTTGTATATGATTATTTTAGTATGAGTCTATAAACATGTTAAGTCTAATCTTCGAGGTTCTTTTAAATGAGGGCTAAAATAGTCGGGTGGACAGATTTGGTGAGGTGACTCACACTTAGGGCTATCAAAACGGCTCGTTATTCGTGAACAGCTCGTGTTCGAATCGAAAAGAAGCTCATTCGCTAAGTTAATGAGCCGAACACGAACAACACATAAATTTTTGTTTGTTCGTGTTCGGCTCGTTTTGGCTCGAAACACTACTAATCAATCATATATATATATATATATCTTTGATGAGTAGTATTTTTAAAAAAATTTATTGACTACAAGGCTACAAATATTTATAATCAATTAAAAGTATTAATAAAGAAAATAGAATAAAATTATTAAATTAGATTCAAATGATATTTTTAATCTTGCCTCAATTCTTAACATCTTGTGGCTATGTGATTAGGGTTGCGTGTTCGGCTCGCCAA